CTTCAGGTTTTGTTACCATAGCGCACCCACCAGCCACCAAGCCTATTTTTATGCTCACACTTCAACTTAAGCAGTGAGTCAGCCCCCAGCAAGGAAAAGGCAAAAACTTGTGCTATAGCACCACCTTCTGGAAAACAAAAGGCAGGCTCTGAATGATCAACAGGTTGAACTGCTAGAATCAAGTCAACAAAACCTTTAAGTAAGAAAGGTGATCATTGTTACTTCAAATATAAGAAAGGTGATCAATATTACCTCAAATGCAGGGCAGAGGAACTTTTCATCAAAAGCTAGGAAAAATCATGGTAATGTGGTATCACAAAAAGAAAATAACAATTTTCCAGCAACCGAGCCCAAAGACATAAAATACAGCAATCTTAACTCAAAATAGACACAAAGAAGTTAAACAAGCTACGCAAAAACTCATCAAAGCAAAAATGAACTCAAAAATTAACATGCAGGAGTACTTTGCCAAAGACTGGAATTCTGAAAAAGAACCAAACCAATTCTGGAGCTAAAGAACTCAGTTAATGAGACGAAGTTGCATTAGTGAGTGCTGGGAGTAGAGCAGATGAGATGGAAGCGTGGATAAACAAGTTCAAGAATAAGAACCGAGAAACAATTCAGGTGGAAGGGGAGTAAGAACTAAGTTCTTTGTTAAGTGAAGAAACCCTATGAGATCTATCAGGCTTCATTAGAAGAGCCACATGAAAGGAGAAGAAGGAGCGACCTTATTTAAAGATATAAAAACAGGGCCTCCCCGGTGGCGCAGCGGTTGAGCCCTGGGTTGCGAAGCTGCGCGCGGCCTCTGCGGCGCCGGTTCGATCCCCGGCTGCTCCCCGGCCACCAGAGGAGGGTCCCACATGGCGCGCAGACCTCTCCTGCCGCCCGCTGCTCCCCTCAGCAGTGTACTTCGGTCCTTCTGCCTGCTCTGCTCCCCACTCTGGCTCTGGTGAATTCTCTCGCCCTCCCGCGCTTCTGACTGTACCCAGTGCATGTATAAACAAAAAAACAAACAAACAAACCAGCAAACAAATAAATAAAGCATGCCTCTATAAAAAAAAAAAAAAAAAAAAAAAAGAATAAAAAAAAAAAAAAAAAGATATAAAAACATATTTCAGATTGGAGTAAATTAAATAGAGATCATACAATAATACAAAGGATTAAGGAAATGAAGAACTGGTTCTTCAAAAAGATAAACAAAATTGACATGCCTTTAGCTAAAATAACTAAAAAGACTCAAATAAATCAATTAGAAATGAAAGAACAGACATTAAAACAGACACTACATACATAAACTCATTAGAGCTATTATGATTAATTATACGCTGATAAATTACACAATCTAGGAGAAGTAAATACATTTCTAGAAACACTCAACCTAACCAGTCTGAATCAGGGAGAACAGATTAATAACAAGGTAAGAGGGTAAATCTGTTATAATTTTTAAAAGTCCCAACATTGGAAAGTCCAGGGCCAGAGAACTATACTGGTGAATTCTACCAACTACTGAAAGGAAAATCCACGCCAACCCTCCTCAAATTCTTGCAAAATGTGGAGGAGGGAGCACTTCCAAACTCTTTCTATGAAGCCAGCATTATCTAGACTAGAACCAAGGATTCCAGTAGAGTTGGTCTTAGTGACAAGTGACGGCTCTTTTTCACCTTAGTACTGGAAGTCCTAGCTAGAGTACTTAGGCAAGGCAAAGCAATAAAGTACATCCAAATTGGAGAAGAAGAATTGAGACTGTTGCTATTTGATGATGATATAATCTTACATAAAGAAAGTCTCAGAGTTAATCAAACAACTATCAGAATGAATCAATGATTCAGTCAAGTGGCAGGATACAAAATCAACACTCAGAAAGTAGTTGTTTTCCTTCATACTGAGGAAATATCTGAAAAAAAGAATAACATCCCATCCGCAGTAGCATCAAAACAATGAAATGCTTAGGGATAAATTTAACTAAGGAAATGAAAGACCTGTACAATAAGAACTACAAGACTTTGCTGAAAGAAATCAAAGAAGACACAAACAAATGGAAAGGCATCCTGTGTTTATGGATTGAAAGAATTAATATTGTTAACATGGCCAGACTACCCAAGGCTACCTACAGGTTCAACACAATCCCCATCAAAATTCCAAAGACATTCTTCACAGAAACGAAAAAAAAAAAAATCAATTTGTGTGGACCCACGAAAGACTCTGAATAGCCAAACCAATCCCGAGGAAAAAGAACAAAACCAAAGGCATCATACTTTCAGACTTCAAACTATACTACAAAATTATAGTAATATAAACAATATGGTAACTGGCACAAAAATTTGACACACAGATCAAAGACTTAGAATAGAGAACCCAGAATTAAAATCTGGCATCTACAGCCAACTCATATTCCACAGCAGATCTAAGAACACCCGTGGGGGAAGGATAACCTCTTCAACAAATAGTCCTGGGAAACCCAAGAAACACATGAACAATGAAATTGGACCCCATCAACAACACTCAACAACTAAATGAAAGTGAATCTAAGATTTAAACATAAGCCCTGATGCCATAAAACTCCTAGAGAAAAATGTAGGTTAGAAGTTCAGTACTGGTCTTGATAATCATTTTTTGGAAATGACACCTGTAGGGTAAAGAAAATGTCAGGCTTTTCTGCCCTTCCGCCATCAGGATAGATGATGGATCCTTGTCCTGAATGCATGCCTGATGGCGGGCACCTGGAGCAGGGTGTGGGCATAGGTAGATGGGATTCACCTGGGCTAAGACTGTGCTTTTAAGGGCGGCGTCACAGCAACGCCAGTAGCAGTAGCAGTAGCAGCAGCAGAAGCTGAAGAGAAGCTGAGAAGCAGCAGAACGAACGCTAGAGAGCCCAGATAGAGTAAAGACTTGCTGGGGGCTGGGAGGCCTGCCAGCCTCCCAGCCCCCCAGCCAGCACCCCTGCCTGCCACATACCCGCTGAACCCCAATAAAAAACCTGCAAAACTACTGAGGACTCTGACTCCTCCTTTACCCGGTCTGCATGGGATCAGAAAACCTGTACTGTGCCTGTTCCTGCCTTTACAACACCCAAAACACAACAAAATAAAAAACCTACAAATGAAACTACATCAAACTCAAGAGCTTCTGCATAGCAAAAAAACAGCAACAACATAATAGTTAATAAAATTAAAAGGCAATGCGCAGGAAGGGAAAGACTTTTTATAAACCATATACTGGATAAGGAATTAGTATCCAAAATCTAGAAAGAACTCATACGATTCAATAAAAAATGAAAAATCTGATTTAAAAAGGGACAGAAGAAGGGTCATTTTCCCAAAGATGGCATCAAAATGGCCAACAGGCACGTCGAAGGACACTCAACATTTCCAATCACCAGGGAAAGGCAAGGGAAAACCACAACGAGATACCACCTCGCACCTGTTGGAATGATTCTCATCGAAAAAGTCAGGCAAGGGGCCTCCCAGGTGGGGCAAGAGGTTTAGATGCAACCTATGAAGCTCACCACAGCCACCAGAGCACAAGTTCGATCCCCTGCCACGGAGGTGACACACACGGCGCAGCAGACCTCTCCCGATTCACCCACTGCTCCCCTCAGCAGTGTGTTTCGGTTGCTCTGCCTGTTCTGCTCCCCACTCTGTCTCTGGTGAATCCTCTCACCCCCCAAACCTGGCCTGTACCCCAGTTCTTGTATGTATAAATAAATCTTTTTTAAAAAAAAAAAGTCAGGCAACATTTTTGAGGTCGCATTAATTACGGAACGAGATAAATCCTGGCACAACAGGAATCCCATCCTCATACAGCAAAGTGTCACGCTCTGCCTCCATCTCACACTTCCAGTCACGGCTCAAATGTGTTTCAAAACATACGCCGCACCCGCGCGAGCCTGGCCTGTTGGAAGACTTTACAAAGTATAAATGGGTGGCGCCTGCAGCCGGCTCCTGAGAGGAAGGAACACAGCCTCGCCGCGTCTGGGGCGCTTTTCCAGATCCATAAAAGCGCCTGAAAAGAACGAACCCCACTTCTCCCCGCAAGGCAGAAGCAGCCAGGAAGCGGCGAATTCCCCGGAGCGCTTCCACCGCGCCGCCAGCCGCGCCCCCTCCGCCCCCGACTCCCCCACTCCCCAATACCCCACCCTCCCAACCTCCCCCACCCCCCAACCCCGGCCACGCCGCCAGCGGTTTCGCAGCGCACCCAAGAAGGGGCGCCCAGCAGGCGGCCTCGGAGGCACGCTCCCCGGGAACGCGCGCCCCTCTGGCGACGCGGGCTGCCGCCGGGACCCCGGCGCTACTCACCCCGGGGAGGCTGGGGCGCGGGGGGGCGGGACTCCACTCGCAGGGACCCCGCGCCCAGGGCCCCAGCCGGGCTCACCCTGCCGCGCCAGGCCCGACCGCGCGGGGCGACTCCCTGAGGCGCGCGCTCGGGCCGGCGGACGGGGGGCGTCCGCGCGGGAGGCGGGCGCGGCGTGAGGCGCGGGGTGCGCGCCCGGGGCGGCGGGGGGCGCGCGGAGCCCTCCTGGGCCTGAGGGAAGCGCGCGACCCGCCGCTCTGACAGACCCCGGGGGGCGCCCGGGCCGTCGGCGGGAAGGAACGGCCCGTTGCCGCCGGAGCCGTCGCTGCCGGACGCTGAGGAACCGCACCTGGAGGGAAGCCCGCGCGGGCGCGCCAGCCGCCTCCCCGGCGTGACAGGGCCGGCCGCGCCGACCCCTGGGACCTGTAGTCCCGAGTTCTTTCTTTCTTCTTTTTTTTTTTTTAAAGATTTATTTATTTATTTACACAAGCACTGGGTACAGTCAGAAGCGCGGGAGGGCGAGAGAATTCACCAGAGCCAGAGCGGGGAGCAGAACAGGCAGAGGACCGAAGGACACTGCTGAGGGGAGCAGCGGGCGGCAGGAGAGGTCTGCGCGCCATGCGGGACCCTCCTCCGGTGGCCGGGAGCAGCCGGGGATCGAACCGGCGCCGCAGAGGCCGCGGGCAGCTTCGCAACCCAGCGCTCAACCGCGGCGCCCCCGGGGAGGCCCCGAATTATTTCTTGAGCGCCCACTGTGTGCTGAACGTCTTGCTAGGGTTGACGAAGGGGATCTTCCTGTCAGATGTGGGGTTCGAACCCCGCTGTGAAACGGTTAAGGGAAGTTGCAGCAGATGAGGGATGGAGGCGCAGGGAGGATGAAGAGCTTGCTGGGGCTGGAGTTGCGGGTTCTGTTGGAAAGTCGCGGGAGCAGCAGGGCGCAGGTGTGGCCCGGGAATGCCCCCGGGTCTAGCCCCTTGGCCAGGAAAAGAAACAGTTTGAGGGGAAGGAAGGTAGTTTTGTTGGTTGACGCCTGGAAGAGGACAGCAGACTCTAGTGTCTGGGAAGATCCCCCTCCAGGGTGTTTATCCAGAGTTTCAGGGAGTAGAAGGGGGAGAGGCGGGGGTCGGCGTGGCCTTGCCATTCTGTGTGAAGCCGGCGGGCTTTGGCCAGCATCTAGTGGTCGCGATTTTGATGTTATCTTTGTAGCAAAGCTCTTTTCCCTTGGCATGTGAAAAAGCAGAGTTTATTAAGCTTATAGGGAAAAGAAAGGAAATGGTGCAGCTTATCTGGTGGGACAGAGACTCAGAGACTGTTGCTGCATCAGGGGCAAGCAGGGCCTTTGGCCTCAGTTTGAGAAACAGCCTTGGCTTTCAGTTTCTCTCCAACAGAAACTCCAAGTGTAGACACGAGACGCATCTTCAGGATTAAATAAAAAGCAGGACTTGAGATGAGGTAGGATGGAGCTCAGGGCGGGTGGAGCCACTCACCGGACCTGTGGGGAAGATGTTGTCATTGATGGCTTCTGGTTTCCTGAGTCAGTTGTGAGGAGGAAATAGTACACGAGGTGCTGTGGAGGTCAGTGTCAGGGCCAAAGCTCACCCATACACCCGGGGCACAGTGGGCAGGGTGAACACCTTGGTGACCATTCTTCCTTGGGACTGCAAACCAGAAGAGCAGCTATTGGCCCAGGCAGAAGGGACGCTATGGTCACGGAATTCCTGTCCCTGCTCTGTCTTGGTGAGTGTCCAGGACCAGGACCCACAGACTTGACGGGTGAGAATGGGTTAGCATGGGGAAATATGGCAAGTACAGAATAGTGGCTTCTGTGTGCTGGGTCTGTGCTGTCTGTGAGAGTTTTGTGGGTTGTGGTATCTGCCCACATGCCTTTTTACCTGGAGCTCATTCATATGAGAGGAGGAATCTGAGCTTCTGTTTGCTCGGCTGAGAAATGCAGAGTGGAGGGGCTCACCAGGTCTGTAAGGTCCAAACTCAAGGTCTTGCCTGGAGGGTGGGTCTGCAGCAAGGCCTTGGCTACAAAGGAAGAACACAGAGAAGAGCTATGCCTGGGGCTGATGGATGAAAAGAAAATGTTCTGCCCAGACCTAAGCCTCATCTTACCGTAACCGTCCTCAACTTAAACATACTGGATCGAATGATCTCAACCCAGAAGGAAGAGCCAGTTATAATGTTGGCTCGGTCTTGCGGGAGCTCAGGACTTTGAGCTTAAGCCCCCAAGTTCCTCCTTCCGGGGAGGGAATGTGGAGGGCACCAGGACTCATGTGCCCAGGTCCTCCTCCTTCTGGGTACTGCCCTACCTGTGGGGGTGATGCTTCTCCCTCAGACACACTGAGCTTCAGAGGCACCTGTTGCTTATCACACCCCACCCCTCGAGATGCTAGAACAAGCTGGGCGGTGAAGAGACCTCGTCCTCCCCGCATCCGTTCCCTCTGGCTGCCAGCGAAGTACCACAAACCAGATGACTGAAAACCACAGTCACCTCTTCCCGCACAGCTCTGCAGGATGACAGTCAAGTCCAAATTCAAGGTGTTAGCAGGGTGGGCTCCTTCTGAGGGCTTTGACTCTGCAGTAACATGGGCTTAGAACATTCTGTAAGTCTCGGGTGCACAGGCTTGTGTGAAAACATCTGTGTAGATTCCATTAGCTCACTGCCAAGAAGCTGGTTGCTACCATCGTCATGTCACTGGCCCCTTTCACCCCATTGACCTGCCCACTCTGCCCTTCCCTGCTTGTCACCACTGCTTTGTTCTGGTAGTAGAAGAGTTTGTTTTGTTTCATTTCAGTCCTTCACTTGTTTTGTTTTGGTTCTTCCTCTGCCACCTACGAGTGAAATCATACGGTGTCTGTCTTTCTCCAGCTCACTTATTTCACTAAGCGGCAGCCCTGCTAGGTCCATCCGTGTTATCAACGGTGGGATGTCACATTTTTGTTTGCTGGCTGAAGTTGAGCACCGGTCCTTGGCATATAAATGCCAGCCATTAGCCGTGCCTCTGTTGTTGGGCACTTGGGGTGTTTCCAACTCTTGGTCATTGTGAATAATCTGCAGATGCCCAGATCTCTCTGGATTACTGTTTTCATGCTAAACATAACTTCTGAGTGACGAATAAGAACAAAAGAAAAAGGGCAAGTGAAATATATGCAAGGAATAGGACAGGTCCTTACCAAATTAGTCATGCATCCTCTGTCCAATTTATAATCAAAGACAAGTGCATCACTCGTTTCTCATGAGGGTTTCTCTTGCAGGGCTTTGTCTGGGCTATGAAGATGAGAAAAGGGATGGTGAGTTTTCTCCCTCTTCAGCTCTCTCAGTTCTTGCACCCCAAGTTCCATGGCCTTTTCCCTTTAATCCTATGACCTCTGTGAGGTTTTGGTGGTCATCCAGATGAAGAGTCAAATTAGCTCTGAATTCTTTCCAGAGTTGCTTCCTCAGCCCTTCCTCAGCGTCTTGCCCAGCTCAGTGGTTGAACGCGGGAGCAACGTGACCCTGGCGTGTCAGTCTCGCTTCCAGAATGTGACATTCGTGCTAGGAAAGTTGCAGGACCCCGAGTACAAGCACGAGCAGAGATCAGCGGGAAACTACACTGAATTTCTCCTCACTCACCTGGAGCCTAAGGATGCTGGGACGTACTTTTGTGCCTACAGGACAATGACCTCCCGTGTGTGGTCAGAGGAGAGCAGGGGCCTACAGCTGGAGGTCACGGGTGAGAAGGCCCTCAGATTGGCCTTGATGCACAAACCCCTTTTCCGGTGATGGGGCCTGACTGGGGAGGGGGAATCCAGGAAGCAAAAAAGACAAACATGTCACCTTGAGTGTAGGGAAGTGGGGAGATAGAAACTGAGTGCAGGGGTGAGGCTCTCCTCGGGGATTCTGAGTGTGTTTCCATGTGGATGAGGGAGGCCATTTTAGAATAAAGTATTAACAGAATTAGTTTATGTGGGGTCAGTTCAAAATATCAAGGGGTGAATATCACTGAAAAGAGATTGTTTTGGGCCTCCCTGGTGGCACAGGGCTTAAGTCTCAGCAGTATGAAGTGCTCAGCAGCCACTGCAGCACGAATTTGATCCCCCCCCCACCCAGAGAGCTGACCCACATGGCGCAGCAGACCTCTCCTGTCTCCCCACTGCTCCCCTTAGCAGTGGATTTCAGGAGATTCACCTGTTCTGCTCCCCACTCTGTCTCTGGTGAATCTTCTCACCCCACCCCCCACACTTCTGGCCTGTACCCCAGTTCTTGTATGCATAAACAAATCTTACAAAAAGAAAAGAGATTCTTACAGTTCTTAAGGCTGTGTCATGCTTGGACCAGCATCTCCCCATTTCTACCACCCCTCTGCCCCTGACAGTGGTGCTCGTTCCTGGGAGAGGGAAGATTGACAAGGAATAGGACTTGAGGGAGAAATTAGCTGTCATTCAGAAATATTTTTGTTATTAAAAATATCATCAACTTCAGGAGTATTAAGAAGAGTCATCTGATGCCTTGTGCCTGGCTTGGGCACGTGAGCATCGAGGGTATGGAAAGGACCTTCTCTTCTTTGTTCCCCAGAGAGGGCATCAGGTCCATGAGCAGGCCATGAGGATTTATGGGTTCCCGTATAATCATTGTTCTTTCTTTTCTCGCATCTGTTTTCCAGATGACCGTGAAGGGCATGTTGCGCCCTCAGCAAAAGCAGGTAAGGTCATCAGAGAAGGTGTTTTCCCAGGTGTATCCATCGCAGCAGTCAGGCTATAACCTTGGATTCAAGACTTTTAGTGGTTGCTTTCTCTGCAGTAGGGGGCGGGGGAGGGGAGCTGCTGCCTCTTTGGGAAGAATACGACTAAGGCACGTCCAGTTCTGAAAAAACTGACGAGTTAATTAGCACAGCATTGTCTGTCATTCTGCAGAATGAAAAAAATAATGGTGGCGGTTGGTGGAGAATGAGGGTGAGTTTGTGTGACTGGTCTGGGACCAGGACCAGTTATTTTGGAAATATTTATGATCAGGACTTGCTGAGACTTTAAAGTTCTCAAAATAGGGGAATATTAAATTCTTTTTCTCTGATTCTATTTTTCCCATGAAAAAATTACTAAGATTTTGTCCTTAGCGATTCTCATAAATCATAGAGCCGCTGGGAGTTTTAGGCTGAAACGGGAGCTTATCTAGACTTTAATAACCAAAGGGATTATGCAAACTGGCATGTAGATAGTCCATCGATGTTTCTTTTCATTGTTATTATTATTGTTCTATTAGTATTATTAATAATTGTGTTGAAGTACCGTTGGTTTACATTGTTATTAGTATTTTGTAGGTATAGGGTCTCCCCCACACTATAAATGCAGAATATTCTCATTATCCCAGAATGAAATCTCACACCCACTAAACAGTCACTCGCCACTCTCCCGTCTCCCACCAAGTCTTGCAACCTCAAGTCTGCTTTCTCCCTCTATGGTTCTGTCTTTTCCAGAGATTTCCTATAAATGGGTTCTTCCTTTACATGGTGATCAGTTTCTTTCACGAAACCTAACGTTTCCAAGGAGCATCTGTCAGTACATCTCCTTTCTTTCCGTGATTGAAAATAATCCCATTGTCTGAATAGACTGAGTTTTGTTTATCTGTTCACTGGCTGCTGGACTGTTGTTTTGTATGTACATTTTGGTTGTTGCAAATAATGGGAGAATGTGTATCTGAGTCTCTGCTTTTCATTTTCTTGGGTATATACCGAGGAATAATGATGAGAAGTACTGACTTGGAAGCTCTCGGTCTAGAATCTGACTCACTGTGTTGGATCAGGAGATTGTAGCGATGATGACCATTTTCTCACCCAATATTCCACCCACGCCCTCCTCCCTCTAACAGATGCTTTTCCACCCATGAGCCCCTAGATCTAATGTCGATACCTTGGGGTGTCTTCTCAGAGTTGCTGGGACAAACTGTATGTTTGACTTTTTGAGGAACTACCAAATTGCTCTCCAATGTGGTTGTATCATTTAACATCCCACCAGTAATATGCGGGGGTTCCAATAGCTCTCCTTCCTTGCCAACACTTACTATTTTCCTTTTATTCTATTATAGCCATCCCAGTGGATATGTACATAATTCCTTAAAATGCACTTTTTAAGTTCTCATTTTTATCATCACAATCCCAAACAGCTCAGAATATCTTTGAAGCACAGACCTGATGTCTGTAGACGTTTGCCTCAAAGCTTTAGACATTTGCCTCAAAGCTACAAGGAAGGGACCCCATGGTCTAGTGCTGTCCACAGACTGGTGATGGAATTTACCACCTAACTTTGACACCAGGAATCCTTCTGATGCCTGTGATTTCATGTGTGTCCCTGAATCAGGTTGTAGACCACGGCTCAGCCTGGTTCCTTCCCACCAGGGTCTTCGGCCCTTTGTCACTTGGCTGGGCAGCGTGTCGATGGTGACAGGAAATTTGAGCAGGATGTGAAGACATGTCAGTGCAAACCCAATTCAGTGCGTTAAAGAAGACAATTTTGCAACCATTTACTTCTCATTTCTAGTGAACTGCTATGTGGAAGGAGCTGCCAGCATGCAAGGGGACACCAAGAAGGGGAAGGCAAGGCTCTCATCTCTCTGCTTCTGTGGAGAGCAGTCGGCCGTCAGGGACGGTGGCTGTTCCTGTCCTGTTTTCTCGCATCTACATCCACGGGGATGTGCTGCTGAAGTTGTTGTTTGAATTTCGATCCACCAGAAGCCAACTCTTCCATAGTATTAGTGTGGAAGTGACTGAGTTTTAGGAGGCTGGGGAGAAGGAAACGACTGGGAGGAAAAGGTCTGAAATAAGAGTGGGATATTCCAATTCCTCAGAAGGAATTTTTTGCTCAATCCTGCAAAAAGGTACAGGTCTTTGAGAAAGTCACCAACACAGGAGGCTGGGAACATACCCGGCAGGATGTTCCTGTTCCACACACATTCCAAGACATTTCAGATCCTTCCAGGCAACCCCCCCACTTCAATAAATAGAAGTAGGTGCTTGAATTGGAAATGGAAGGAAACCACCATCTGGGGTGCATAAGAATGGCATAGGGGACTGGGGACCCTTGGAGAGGGGAGCATCAAGCAGCCTGTTAATGGGAAATGGGTGTGGGTAGAATATTGGGTAAGAAAATAATCATTATCCTTGCAACTTCATTATCCTACACAATGAGTCAGATTCTAGACTAAGAGCTTCAAAGCTAGTAGTTTTGAGCATTACCTATTCTGCAGGTTATATTCTGTTTCCCTTCAGCCCCCTCCTTTTTTTCTAGCTTTATTGCAATATAACTGACAGATAAGATGGTAAGACAGTACAAGAGTATGGTGTATTTGGACATACGTGTAGATGGAAGCCCCCCCCACCCTCTATTGAGCTCATGACCTTGTATTTACCTTTATTTTATTTATTTTGGTGAGAACGCTTGAGATATACTTTAAGCAAATTCCAGTGATACAATGCAATGTTATCAGCTCTGTCCACATGCTGAACTTCAGACCTTAGAACACCTTATAACTGAATGTTTGTAGCCTTTACCAACCTCTCCCCCAGCCCATGGCAAACACCCTCTCCCCTCTGTTTCTAGGCTTTTGTTTTAGAGTCTACATCTAAGAGAATTCATGCTCCATTTGACCTTTTCTGACTTACCTCACTAGCTTAGTGCCCTTCAGGTTCATCATGTTGTCACAAATGGCAGGATTTCCTTCTTTTTACGGCCGAGTAATATTCCTTTGTTGCATAGCCATAGAACATGATTCTTGAACTGGGTGGTGAGTTTGGATTTGCCCTCATCCATGGCTTGTCACCTCTGTCCCATCCTCGTTAATTGGATAAACAAGTATCTCAACAGTTGACGAGCTCCCTGGACCAGGTTCAGAAGGTCACCTCTTTAGAATGTCCACGCCCAGGGCTGCCCTGTCCAGGAACCAGACTGGTCTAACAGGCCGGGCACACCAGGACACACAGCCCATCCTGGTTATGTGGCTTGGTTTACATGTCAGTGAAATGGGGGAGGGAAACTTATCTCAGGTGCTGTTGTGAGGATAAGCCATGACCTTGCATCTAGCCTGCTCACAATGCTGAGAATGGACCCTTGGGAGCTTCCTGCCTGGAGACACTGTTCGGGCCCTCAATTAGTGTGGCCTTTTGCTCCCCCAACCACTCAGGAAAGGAGCTGCTATTAACCTTGCTTTGTATTGGAAAGCTAAATCTCAGGGAGGGTGAGCTGGTTCCCCGAGAGGCAGCCACAGTTCCAGCTGAGAAGTGGCAGCCGTGAAAGCTGAAGCCACGGTGTCTGGCTTCCCCTGACGCTTGGGCCAGTTCCCTCTGCGTGAACCAGGAACCAAGGTGACCCGCTTCTCTCCCCCCAGACCCCAGAATCACCTTTGTCATCACCTTCAGCTGCCTCTCCATCTGCCTCCTCTTCCTCTCTGTCATCTTCATCTACCGCTGCACACAGGAGGGTGAGTCCAGAGAACATCTTTTAAAAGGTGAGGAATGAAGTAAAGCGAAGAATGTTCACATACGATAAATTCCTCCCTGTATATTTTTATAGGTTCATCACAAGAGGAATCCACTGAGAGGTAGTATACTTGGCTTATGCCCAGCTTAACTCCCCCTCCATTCTCCAGAAACCCCCTTTGCACAGCAGTGGTTCCTGTGGCCACTCCCACTCCTGTCCCCGGCCCGCACTCCCTCTCAATCTGTAAAGTGACCTCCCTCCTTGCCTCTCCAAAGCCTTATTGCCTCCCTGAAATCTTCAGATCCTACACTTAGCTTTGGTTCTCTTTTTCCTAGATCCATCTGCTCTGAGTTTCCCGAGCAGGAAGTTGCTGGTAAGTGATGGAATCCCCTTCCCCATCACAGGAGAGAAGAGAGAATCACAGGATAGAAAAGGAATCACGAGATAGGAAGAGGAAGGACTCCTGTGTCCGGAGCAGTGGGCTCTCCGCCCAGCTGCATGGATCAGATGATGACATCAGGTCTTGGAGAAGAGAAATCAGCTTTATTTTTGAATTGATTGTCAAGGAAGTAGGAGATCAACTTAAATATCATCCAAACTCAATGAAGAAAGGCAAGAGTTTACCTAGATTTGGGAGACCAGGATTGAGGACACAGAGTTAAATTTTGTGGGCTGGAAGCAGATTAGGGGCAAAGACATGTGGACTGGGCTGAAGTTCATTAGCAGGTCTCAGGGCAGTTCCTACATGAAAAAGTAGGAAGAGGCTTTGCTTCAGATAACTGGAGCTTTGGGTTTCTGTTTGCACGCCCCTGCTGCTGGGTAACGCCCCATTCCTGCTTTCTAAGTCTCCAGTGGCCTTGGTGCCCAGCTCAAGGTCATTTGGTTCTACTTACTCAGGACATGTTAGATCAACTGTAAAGACAAGCCTCAGAGGGAAAATTAGAGGTTTTTTTTCCTTTTTTATACTTTCAGTTCTGAGACTCATTTTCCCTGCAATCTGACAACCAAATTGTTTTTTCTCTCACTCACATGCAGATTTACCCGAGCTGAAAAGGATGTCTGCCTTGGTGAGTTCTCCCCTTAAGAGTTCCCCAAAGCTCACACTGGCTGTGGTGACAGGCTGGACATGTCCACTCCTGGCTTAGCACGTACACAGGAGGCCAGTTTATGACGATTTTAAAAATCCTGCTCTTTTTTTTTTAAAGATTTATTTATTTATATATCCAAGAGCTGGGGTACAGGCCAGAGATGCGGGGGGTGAGAGGATTCACCAGAAACAGAGTGGGGAACAGAACAGGCAGGCTGACTGAAACACACTGCTGAGGGGAGCAGCGGGCGAGACAGGAGAGGTCTGCTGAGCCATGTGGGTTTCTCTCTGGCCGGCTGGGGATTGAACTCATGCTGCAGAGGCTGCATTTTTGCTTCATAGTGTGGTGCTTAACCCCTTGCACCTCCAGGGAGGCCCTAAAAATACTGCTTTGACTGAACTTGTGAAAAGGCAAAATAGAATGGTGGCAACCATGAGCTTGGGGAGGGTGGAGCAGGGAGCCTAGGGAGGTGTTGTTTAAGGGTGCAGATTTATGAATTTGAGATAAATTAATCCTGGAGCTCTAATGCACAGCATAGTGATCATAGTCAACCGGACTATGTTATAAACCTCAAAGTTACTAAGAGGCTAGGTCTTAATCTCTCTGGCCACAAAAAAAGAAATGATAATGATGTGACAGGATGGAGGTGTTAGCCAAGGCCCCAGTGGTAATCATACTGCGATAAAATCACACATCACTGAATGGCAGAGACATGTTGTGAGAAATGTGTCATTTTGGCCACTTCCTCGTCATACCGTGTATTTACATAAACCTTGTTGGAGCAGCCGGCCCAAGAATAGCCAGGCTGTAACGTAATCCGGGAGGATTTTGAGACTAGAAATCATGATTCATCCACCACCAAAGGGCAGTTTTGAGCTTTGTTCCTCCAGGATCAGGACATGCGGTAGCTTTAAAGGATCAGGCAAGGAGAAGGTGCGGTGTTAGGTCATTTGCAGTGAAACTTTTTGGATTAGTTCTCAAGTCCATTTTCCTGTCTATGTTTGGTGGACAAAGTCTTCGGACAGAAGGCTGCAGCTCAGGGTTGGCTGTGATAGTCAGCAGGTGTCTCCTCTTGCTTCTATAATCACCAGTTGCTTCTATAATCACCAGTTTACCCAGAAGTCTCCATACAACAGTTAGAGATGCAAGGTACCTGTTTGACTGAAAGCAGTCCTCTAACACCTAGGTGGTATAGGCAGTCCACCTTTGATCAAAGCAACCTTGTACATTGCATGGGTGTGATAAGTGGAACAAATCACCACATTCTACAACTTAAACTTACACTGTGTTATCAGTCAACTGTATTTCAATAAAACAAAAATCTCACATGCTCTGAATTCCAGTGTAGCTGGGTTCCGGCCCCCAAAGTCTACTATCAGTGCAACAAATCATGAAATCCCTGTAATTTAGACCCTACATGTCCTCCCATATCTAATAGAGTTGAAATTCTCATTTCAAAGAAATGTGTGACTCCAGCAATGTCATAGCATAGAGGGTCTATTGGAGTTTCTGGCATATTTTAAATATAGATGGAGAGCACTGGAGTATCCATTATCAAATGTTGGGGTTTTTAAATCTTTTTTTTAAAGATTTATTTATTTATGCATACAAGAGCTGGGGTGCAGGCCAGAGGCGTGGAGGAGGGGGTGAGAGGATTCACCAGAGGCAGAATGGGGACAGAACAGGTAGATCTACTGAAATACACTGCTGAGGGGAACAGTGGGGAGACAGGAGTGGTCTGCTGCGCCATGTGGGTAGCTCCCTGGCCGGGGATCGAACTCATGCTGCAGCGGCTGTATATAGCTTCATAATGCTGAGACTTAGCCCCTTGCACCACCAAGGAGTCCCCTCCATTACCAAATGTTAATCAATTTGCATCATCAGTGGCAGCTGTCCTGGAATGGCATCACCCATGAAGATGGAAATATCCTGTGGCCACAATGTCTGCTATGACAGCCACACGTGGCCACTGCACATTCGAAATGCTTCTGGTGTGACCTGAATTTTAAATTTCACTCTAACTCACTTCCATTTGAACAGCCACATGGCAGTTGTGTCTGGCTATCATAGTGGACAGTTTGTGTGACTGTCATAGAGGGCACTTATACAAACCTTCATGGTATAACCTCCTACACACTGTTCACCTGAGAAGTACCTAGTCTACAATATAATCATTTATAATCACAATTGTCCGTTTACATCGATGTCCTTCCTCCCAAGGATGAAGACACCCAGGAAGTGACCTGTGCCCATCAAAACACCATGGCACCATTGGGGGCAGCTTCTGATCCACCAGGCTCTTGTGAATGTGCAACACTGAAGGTGTAAGAAGTGGGTAGCAGAGCCCTCTGGGAAGGGCTTCTTCCCTAGGGCGGAGAACACAGAGTGAGATGGCTGGGAGAGTGGAGGTGTAGAGATATAGTTGGCTCCATGTCCTTTGTTCATACTATAGGTCAAAAAAATTAAGTTTCTCTCTTCCTGCTTCCATAAATCTCAAAAATCACTAGATGGGTTTTCCCAAAACTTGGAGCATGACTTTAGTATGGTTGGATGTGAAAGATAGGCTGAGGATGTATTTTATATATGGAGTTGACCTTTGAATCATCAGTAAAACGGGGGGGGAAAGAATGGCCATTGGCTTTCTTGAGCCCACACTATCCCTTGTCCCTCAGGACCCACTCAGGACCTCCTGGAGACTCTTCAGAAAGAGATCTCAATCTTCAAAACACTGGAATATTGGACTGACGAAAATCTGACATATTCCCAGTGTTTCAGCAAGAACGTTATTCCCAAGGCTCACATATGCTAATTTATCCCTATCTTGTTGTTAGGTGAGATTTACATGTGTGGATTTCAAGGTGGAATTAAATGTATTATTCTGAAAAAGATCATCAAGATGGAAACTGAAGAGCATAAGACACCAAGCCCGGGGTCCCCTGCAGGAAGTCCAGGTCCACCTGCACCAGCTGCCCACCCCTGGGGTGACCACACTCATGTCCTGACTTCCACAAGAAGCACCCAGCGGTGGTGCATCTGAAGGGGCATCACCTGCAGTCCTCGGTTGACGGTTGACAAAGTCGCCCCTTAGCGTAGCAGGACAAAGAGGAATATCTGTCTGTTCCTTTTGCCCCCAAAGTCATTCTCTTTAAAACTCGGGAACTCTTGGCAGCCATCTGTTTCACCATGTGGAAGAAGCAGGCCTTTAATGAGAAACATAAAGATGACTCAGAGAGCATCCGGCAAACCAGACTGAGCCTGAATGCCTCCAGCTTTTGTTTTCTCGGCAGTAATTGCTTCAGCATCCTTTTCCTCCTCGAAGCTTTCTGGTTCAGTCCTTCTCAAAAACTTCCGAGCCGCAAGCCAGAAACAAAACACGCATGCACAAAACCCCCCAAAAGTTCTTTGAGTCTAATGAGCCTGAGAAGGAATTTTCTTTTGATCAAAGAGTCTTGACAACTTATATGAAACTCGATCACCCCAGTGGAGACCATGTATGGCCATCCTCTCTGGTGTTCTTCCTCTGATATTTTTATTGTATGCTTTTATTGAAGTACCGTTGCATTATCATCTTTTAATTACCTAATAAATTTAACACAGTGATTCTTGACCATTCATTTTTTAAATTCACACATCCTGTAGCAAGTGTAGTCCAGTTTTGTTTTCTTAATTTTCTTAATTATCTTCCTGTGGGGAGGAAAGTGAAGGATTGTGGAGAGAGGAAGCTCTTGTTTTCAGAGAGTGTTAGATACACTTCCCCATGTGAACGCGGGGGAATTTCTTCAAATCTCCAGGCCTCCTTTTCCTCATGGTAGAGAGAGAGGGTTGTTGGAAGAAGGTGACTACCCATCCCAGTCTTCTTGGGATGGGGTTTTTCTAGGATGTGAGGATGAAGAGCCTCACGGAACATGGAAATTACAGGACAAAAACTGAGAACATCCTGGGTAACTCTGTGTTTTGCAATCATCCCCGGCCGGGTGGGTTCACTGCTGGTTCTAGCAATTTGAAGGAGAATTTTGGAGCCTTTGGCATCATTTCCCCAGGTTTTAATGGTGAGCAGGGGAAGCAAGCCAGCAGGCAGACAGCAACTTGAGCCCCCTGTGAATCTGTCTACGCTCTTCTCCAGGCTTTCTCTGGCATTCTCTCGTGGTCCCTTCCTCCCCTAGACATCACTCGCCCTCTTGTAGCCGCTCCACCACGGGCGTCTCTGAATGATACTGCCCTTATATCCCTGACCTCTAGGCTCAGGGGTGCATGCTTGCACATGAGCACACACCCTGCTCAGGTGTCCCCACACCCACATGTCCACATCCACGCGCCCTCTACGTTTACAAGACCAAGGCCGCAGGTGATAGCCAAGAGGCCAGTGGTGTGAGAGCCTGACCAACTTCATTGACCCCACAGTCCGCATGTGTTGGGTGCCCTAGTGGTCAACACATAACAGAAGCATGTAGACTTGATCAACACATTGATTCAGAAAGCAGCTTTCTTCTTTTCCCCCATTACCCTATCACCCCCACCTCTTAGGCCTAATCTCCCCTGTGCCCTTAGGAGGTGAGGGAGACAAGACCTCTACAGTCATCTTCGGTCATAAAAACTTGCAATTAGTAGTTGTTTTTTCATCACATGCAAGGCAACGGTTTCAGATTGGTCATAAAAATGCTTTTGGCAGGTTGCCTGGGGCTGCAGCAGGCAAGGTCAGCTTTTTCTTTATTTCACCCCCTGGAGCTTCTACTCCTCCCACCCCCTCTCTCAGGGCTGCAGTTTTCTCACCTGCAGTTCTCTAATGCTTGTAAGCACATCTCCTCTCCACGGTTGCCTGAGGACAACATGCTCAATTTTGGGGGATCCCTCAAGACAGTTCTAGCATCTCTTTGCAGAGCTCACCTCCCACCTCCAGGTGGCGCTGATGGAAAGGCTATGATTTTCCATTTTTCTGCCTCCCTCCCTCCCTTGCCACCCTCCACTCTGTCCTTGAATATCTTCAGAGCTAGTGGCCTCAGTCTTGAGGCCTGGGGATGCTTTAAACATGAACTACACACCCCATCCCTCCCTGGATCTCATCCCACACCCCATGTATTTCCCCCTTGGCAACCACTCTTACCTGGAGAGAGGGGACCATCACACACAGAGACAACACTGCTCTTCTAATGTCCACTCAGGTGGACCAGGGGTGAGGAGTTGGGCTTCCTGTATCTTCTGCTGAAATCACACAGGGAGGAGGATCGTTTTAAATCTGGCCTCAACAGCACCTGCAGTCTTGGGCTTGAGAGGAAACTGAGATTCCAGTGGCTCTCCTTCAACGTTCAGTGACCGGTGTGCAAAACTCGTGGGACTTGCCCACACGAGCAGGTTTTGAAGAAAAATGGGTGATAAGAGTTCATTTCCATTAAAATCTAACCACCAATCAACTAACAATCTAACAATCAACCCCAAAATGTATGATGACACGTTCACAAGGGTTGGAAACTTGGGTCATTTCAGTTCTAAGTGTGTGGCTGGACACCTGTGTGAAGTATCGTGTGTGATTAAGTGTGCCACGGATGGCAACGGACAGGTGCTGGGGTGAAAGACTGCAGGCTGGTCATCTATGAAAGGTCACCTTATTTTGGTTTTTTCATGGCAGTTGGTTCATTGCCTTGGGACAAGGCTTGGGAACAGGTGGGTCTTTTCTGTACCATTTTATTGGTTGAACCACAGTTAAAGAAGGCTCCTTTTCCGAGGGGAACAGAAAGTGGGCGGTTAGAGCTAGGGATTTGCAGAGAGAGCTGTTGGTCTGCTGCAAACTGTTTCCTCCCCACCTCTAGGAAACACTGCCTCTAACTCACAGCTATGTGAAAAGCTTCAACTGAAACCCCCTGATCTGGGGAAAAACACATGCACCCCAAAACATGAAGAATGACAGTTTTATTATTGTAACTACTTTACTTGAATCATTTTTAATCAGAGTAATTTTGGTTTACACCACTGTATATGATTTGGGGGTAGGGGTTCCTGAGCTAAGGAATGAGAGACTTAGGGCATCAAGGAAAGAGAAGGACATGACTTCATAGGACAAAGACTGCCTCTAGATACTTGCCTACCTTATGAAAGGTTTCTCTGAAAAACATTAGCTTCTAGAGATGACCCTGAATCTGGCTAATCTTCATTTTTTTAAGGTGATGATTTCTCCTGAGGCCTTAGCTCCACATGCCAAGGTGGCCATAGTGGGGAAAGCCTGCTCTGGACTTCTTGGAAAAATTGAACATTTTGGAGGAGGGAGACCGAGCAACGATACAAGTAGGTGATACAATATGACATAAGGGGAGTGTGGAGTGTGGGCCTTTCCTTAAGAAGGGGAGTCAAGAAAGGCCTTGAAGCTAAAGTGTTTTAAAAAATAAATAAACAAAGTTTTTAAGCTGAGAATTAAAGATGGTGATGCCTCCAGCCATGAACAGTGTAAGAGGAATGACATTTCAGGCAGAAGTTCTAGGCAATGCAAAGGGCCTGACGCAGGATAGAGAGAAAAAAATCACTCAGCATGTTCTAATTCTAAGAACTGACATGAGTCCAGTGTGACCACAGTCAAGCAGGCTGATCCGAAAGTGGCACTACAAGAGTGGCACTCAGCAAAGTTATGCAGAACTTTGTAAGCCTTCATAAGAAGCTTCTGGACCTTGACTGAGCTCAACTCAGAACAATGCATGGGTGCATGCTGGGATGACTGTTCTGAACATCTCGGAAGTCTTGCCCTTCACTTTTTATGAAGGAGTGATATCCAGCCAGAGTCCCCTCAGCTGACTTCTCTTTATTTCATAGCTGCCCTAACTGTCCATTGTCCATCCCAAAATTTAATTTTTACACCCATCATATAAAATTGACCATTTAAACCACTTTATTTTTTAAGTGAATAGTATTTTTTAAAGATTTATTATTTTTATTTATTTATGCATATAAGAGCTGGGGTGTAAGCCAGAGATGCAGGGGGAAGTGGGTAAGAGGACTCACCAGAGACAGAGTGGGGAGCAGAACAGGTGGATCTACTGAAATCCACTGCTGAGGGGAGCAGCAGGCGAGATAGAAGAGGTCTGCTGTGCCCTGTAGGGACTGATCTCATCATGCTGCAGTGGCTGTAGGATAGCTTCCTAGTGCTGAGACTTAACCCCTTATGCTACCGAGGAGGCCCCCCTACTTAACCACTTTAAAACCCACAATTCAGTGGCACTAGATGCACACACACAGTGTTCACCACTATCAAGCCCCAGAAGTTTCTCATCACCCCAAAAGGAGGACCCATTAAGCGATCACTCCCATGTCCCTCTGCCCCAGCCCCTGGCAACCACAACTTTACTTTCTTGTCTCTACAGATTTACCTATTCCGGGTGTTTCACATAAATGAAGTAATATAACATGTGCTTTTTGGGATCTGGCTTCTCTCACTGAGCATATTTTTAAGGTTCATTGTTGCTGTAATATGTACTAGTACTTTGTTCCTTTTCATGACTGAATATTCCACTGCAGGAATCAACCCCAATTTAAAGGGGAGATAGAATTTAAAGGGGAGATAGAATTACAGTTGTATCTGGCTTCGATGAATCATTCAACCACCAAAGCTGGATTCTTTCTGCCGGGACATACGGGACTTATCAGCAAGAAGAGGGAATGGCTGCTCTGTAGGGGCAGTATAACTGGCTGACATTAAGCTTTTGATAGTTGTGGTGTCCATTTTGAAGTCATCCATGTCCAATAAGCATGTCACCCAGGGTAATACAGCTGCAAGCAGAACAACTGAATCAGGAACCTGGCTGCCACCATTAAAGAAGTTCCCCTTTTTTGAAAGCCTTGGGTGGCTTAGATAACTGGCCGCATGGGTGAACCCACTTCCCGTTTCCCATGGCCTAATTCCCACTCTATGCTTTAAAAACACCAATAAAGAGTGAATGCCTAGACACTGATAGGCCACACTTGGTCTCTCTCTCGCTCTCTTGCTCTTGCTCTCTGGCTCCACTATGTGGGACATGTTGCATGCATTCAAGACCTGTGAGTCATAACTCTTGTTCCTCCAAGTTCCAGGATTTTTTTTTTTCCTGAAGGACATCCTTCAATCATAATAAGAACCACAAGGGCCAGTTCAGCCACAGCACTGGCCCCAGTCGTGCAAGGGGAGAGTCTGTGGTGCCACGGTGAGTGCCTCAGACATTCCTATCAATCGGCTGGGAGGACACAAGGCTAAGGAGTAAGGGCAGGGATTCGGGCTCTGGCAAATGTCCAGAATCATTAGCTTTCAGGAGCAGGTAGGAAACTGGCTGGCTCTTGTACAACCTCACTCTTGCAAGGTCCACGGAGGTTCTCTTTTCCCTGGGACCAAGCATTACATCTGCAGGTGTCACAGCAACTCAAGGTCACAGGACACCAAAAGCACTGGGCAAGGCAAGGTGAGGCCTGGAGGAGACGCTGGAGGTTTCTAAAGATCAGAATCTCCAGTCGGAGTTTGCGTTCTTGCCAGGTTTCACAAATGCAGGGGACGATGTGTGCTGGAGACAGACAGAAGCCCTGGACAACCTTGATGTGTGCTTCTGGCCATTCTGAGCTCGGTGGCCTTGGCCAACTCCCTTGA